ACGAGGTAGAATAAAAATGGAAAGTGATGTAACAGAATCAATGTGCAAATAAAATAAAATTATTTTCAGCATTTATACTCCAAATTTGTTATTGCTTTTTGCAGTGTTCACATGACCAGCCAATTTAATATAATAAGCTTTTGCCTATGTTTACCTTTTTAAATGGCCATGGTACCTGTATAATTATTATTTAGGGTTATCCAGAATAGTGCTAAAATCAGATCCTTCTTCAAGGCTCTTTCCAGTGCTGCGTTTCAGTATATGGAGAACTGCGCCTTTGTTTTATTCCCCTTCTTAGTAGCACCATTCAGACATCAATCCATAACTAACTGCAGTACATTTGTTTAAATAGTTCATCCAATGAAGGAATTACCATAAAATAGTATTGATTTTGAAGAGCAATAGCCGCATATTACTTTGACGCCTCGGTGTAAAAATAGTGCAGTAATGATGTATTTTAGTAATTAGTGGGTGTAGTTTAACAATTGTATTAAGGTAATGACTCACTGATCCATGACTTCAGAATTGACTGAACAAAGCACTGCTCAAAGCATAGTGCTGGTAATGTGGTGTTTTTTCTTTACACCTGGAATGAAAAAGCACTTACTGGAAAATGAGCACCACGTCACGTCCTGCAACTTCTTACCGGTGGAGGTAAAAATATTGTAGTAGCAAAAATATAGTTACTTCTTGCCAAAAGAAAAAAAGTATATATTCAAATACAGATTGCTGTGCCTCTTATTCTCATTTACTTTCCATGGGGCTGGTTTGAAGAAACATCTTACTGAGAGGCTGGAGAAATAATGAGCCAGCGAAACTTAGAAAAACATGACGAGGACGGGAAATTGTTGTACTTTGGATGCTGAGACAATACCAACCTTTAAGTGAACGAACAAATGACTTTTGTAGTTTCAGTTCAATTCTTTCTATTGTTTCACAGCATAAATAGCAACTAGCTGGGGTTTGTGAATTGCAGTATTTGGAGATATTAATTTCACAATATCTCACAATACATTTCCACTACGATTCCCAGCTTAAATTGCAACACTTGCAAAAATCATTAACGGGGTTATGCACAAAAAGGTGAAGAGTTTGGAGAAGTGAACAATCTAGGACAACATAGCTGAACTGGAAAGTGAGCTTAATTGGAGAATGTTTCCAAATCAGTTATGTTGTCCTAGATTGTTCACTTCTCCTGCCTTCTCCAAACTGTTCACCCTTTTGTGAATAACCCTGTAAATATAAATCTAGGTAACATCATAATCTGTTACCTCCTATATACAGCATATATACTGCCCTTTAGACAACCACCCCAATTATGGCACTAGGACTCGCCCATCCTAGTTGGGTGACTTTAGGAGACAATATTGTCCAAGTTCTTCCTTTGTCACCCCTGCAGTAGCAGAATTTTATGAGCTCATTCTTCTGCTCTTCCCTCCAGTACGTATATTTAATGTTCTGCTGACAGCTCATGAAAAACAATGGAGCCTTTATGCACTCCACATGTTGGACCCAACTACCAGTCTTTGTGCTTTGGATTACAGGATGCTGATAATAAAGCAGATTTAAGTACATTTAAGTAGTTTTAAAAATACATTTAATGCAATAAATACATTTAAACTAATCAGAATAAAATATGTATTTTTTTTTTGTTTAAGCTAAAAAATATTTAGCTATTATAGTCATGTTTTGCATTTATAACTGCAGCTCCAACCAAGTGATACATTCTCAGTTCTTGCATACATAGATATGAACTAGTTTGAGAGTTGAATTGATTTGGGCAAATGGTAAAGAGCAGGGATTTATTTTACAGTGTTTTTTTCTTTGCTGCAGCCTCATTGTTTAAATCCAGGGCTTTTATGCTTTCTGGAAGTTTTGATAACCAGGTAGATACCCCCTGAGCCATTTGTTAGATCATGGACCTCAGTGCACCTGTACAGGTGAAACTCGAATAATTAGAATATCGTGCAAAGTTCATTTATTTCACTAATGCAACTTAAAAGGTGAAACTAATATATGAGATAGACTCATTACATGCAAAGCAAGATAATTCAAGCCGTGATTTGTCATAATTGTGATGATTATGGCTTACAGCTCATGAAAACCCCAAATCCACAACCTCAAAAAAGTAGATTATTACATGCAATCAATAAAACAAGGATTGTACATAGAACAATATCGGGCCTCTGAAAAGTACAAGCATGCATATGTACTCAGTACTTGGTTTGGGCCCCTTTTGCAGCACTTACTGCAATTACTTTTGCACGATATTCTAATTATTCGAGTTTCACCTGTAGATTATGGCCATTAACCACTCTCTGTTCGGCCATTGTAATCCAATAGCCAGAGAGAGCACCTCCCAGGGTGGGTCGCTGTTTTTGAATGGCATTTTTCCTATGGAGATCACAAAAAAGTATAGTGCCAATGAAAGTGGCCCTGTACCATGAGATCACCGTGACTAATCACTGCATCACAAAATTTAAAAACAATGGCTGCGGTTAGCATTTGGCTCTCACGTTCCTCTCACACACCGATAAATATGTGAGAGGAAAGGGAGAGCTTCTTGATTACCAGCCAGTTCCCCATTATCAATGCCAGCCAGAGCCAGGGTCATCCAGTACCAGTGCCTATACAGCCAGTAGCAGTGCTAGCTAGAATCAGTGCCAGCGAGTACCATTGTCATCCAGAGCTTGATTAGAAACACCCACATAATGTCTGACACTGGTAGTACTCTCCTGGTACTCCAGGGCCTCCACAAATATGATACATTTACCAAAGTTTGTAGATTGTGAAACTTTCGCACACCAAATAATATACACTTATTTGTTTGTTTGTTTTTTCATAAAAAAAATTTGGCAGCATCCATTTTGGCCTCAATGTATAAAGAAAGATTAGTTATTTGATGTGTTTTATAACAGAAAGTAAGAACAGCAGTTTTCTTCTTAAAAAGGAAGAATTACCAAAACATTTGATGCAGTAAAAAAAAAAAAGTGGTTATTAAATACCACCAAAAGAAAGCTCTATCTGACTCATAAATAGTATAAAATGCATAGAAGTGGCCGGAGGGGCGGCAGGGGGAGTGCCAAGCAGGCTCCTCACAAGTGATCAGGGTGGCTGTACAGCCGCCCAAGATCGCTTGTTCAAAACTGCTTGCCCCTCTACATTTCGCCCTGCTTGCCCAAAGCAGAGTTAAATGCAGAAAAAGAAAAACACCTGCCCGGTGCCTGGAACTGCATGTCCCGGGCGTCTGGAGATATGAATTCCGCACCCCTGGTACTTGTAGGTTTGAGGGGAATGTATTGTGGTTTTGTACATTATGTCCTCTCCTACTCATGCTGTAATACCCTCTTCTGTACATTTGCTTACGAAAATATTTTTTCAACATTACTTCTAATATCTCTAACCGTGACAATTACGGAATCGCTGCTGTTAGGTTTTTTTTTAATTATGTACAGGATAAAAAAAAAATCTCCAGAAAGTACTAAATGTATAAGGCTCTGTTCACACTTAAGTGTCAAGGGTTTAGGGCATTTCGGAGTGCATTTTGTTTAGCATCTTGCATTTCTGCACATTTTGCCCATTTGTGTGCACGAAGACGCATGTTTTATTGAGCAGATTGAAATACATTGCGGTGAATAAACAAATGTGCAAAATGCCTGCGTTTCCATTGAAGTCTGTGGCCAAACACGTGGTAATCTGCCAAAAAGGTACTTTTTTCCAGCTTTTGGCGTTTTACAGCTTGCGACAAAATCTCTCAGGTATGAACAGGGGCCATTGAAATGAATGGGATTTCTTCTGTTACCAGTTTTGTAGCGCTTAGCTTTGAGTCAAAACGCCTAGGTGCGAACAGAGACTTAAAAAAGTGAAATGGCAGATCCTCAAATCAATTTAAATCTAGAAAGAAGGAAGTGCATGTTGGTAGGGCAGTACACTTAACAATACAATAATTCCCTGCACTCAGTCTAGCCAGTCAGCACAATATTCCTCATTAAATTGTTTTTGTTTCAAACATTTGCAAATACATGTACAGGCAGTCCCCGAGTTAAAGACATGCGACTTACATACGACTCCTACTTACAAACAGAAGCTATTACAGTACAGCAGGGGTCGTTGTAATTCTACCGTGCTCGTGCTGACTAGGAGTGCCTGCCTTTTTGGGTCTGGTTCGTAGTACTGTACTTAC